TTCTGACATTGGCATGTTTTAGTAAAACTCCACAGATAGGAATTTTCCAGAATTCACCCACCAATAAAAGTAGGACAATTTAAGGCCAAGGACATTTTAAATTAAAATTCTGCAAATAAACTTTGCAGAGATAATTATATTCATAGTTTACAAAAATAAATATGTAAGAATTTCACATTTCTGCTTTTAAACCCTCTGGAATGCCTTGCCCTGTGACGTCCATTGTATGCACACTATTATAAATGTGCTTTTCATTTGTGCTTAACTGCTGGATGAGTCAGAATTACTTTCAGCAAACCACAAATGCCATAGAGAGGTGGTATTTAACAATACATCCTACCAGTACAAAAGAGAGGCAAATTCAATCCTTACTTCCTCAAGGTGAGCTCAGCGATAGCCTGTGCAAAGCTGCAGGAGCATTATGTGTCTAGAAACTGAGGAACTAATGTGAGCTTCTTCTGATCTCAAATCAGATCTTTTAGGGTTTCTCAAAGTTTCAGGACTTCATGGACTGGGTTTGATCTCGGAAATTATGAGAAATGTGTTGGGACTTGATGTCTAAGGACTGAATTTACGAAATTCTTCTCACCTGCTTTTTCCTTCTTATTTTTTTGTATTCCCAACAAACCTTTCTTAAGCATTTCTTAAGATTGTTCAAAAGACAAAATTTAAGAAGTATTCATATTATTGAAAAGAATATTCCTGAAGTAAATGATTTATTTAAGCTTGGGTCAGCTCCAACCTGTCCCCAAATCCCCAAAGGTAAGATGTTTAATGAATTTATTGGGTTGTTTAAACATTAAAGGTAGGGTAGGCAATTTTCGTATAGGCTAGCAATAGCGAACTAGCATTGAAAGCATAAGATCCCACCCTCACTTCAGAGCGTCTCCAAAGCCACGTCTCCTTCAAAACACACGAACACACACAGCAGGGAGCAAACAAAAGCATTGTGAGAGACGGCATTAAACATGTCTCAAAGCACATAACATTACAAAAACGTCTAAACGTCACGGGTTTGCATCTCTTCCAAATTACAGTAGTTATAATGCAGTAAAAGCTTGTTGTTTTGGTTCAGGAGGAACTGTACAAGGCGGCGGCTGTTTCGGTGCTCAGTGACTGACGTGTGTCTAAGTCTGCATAGCATGAAACGTGCTGATGAGCAGGGTACACGGAGGTATGGAAATACAGTATGCGTTCACTCTAACTAGAACTAGAGAACACAGATACCGGACACATTCACTCTAGAGAGAGCGCAAGAAAGACGGAGTGCAATGAATGGAAATAACCTCTTATTGCTCTGTTAAAATAGCTATTTTAACTTGACACGGTGCATTAAAAACACAACGTAATTACTAAAAACAGTAATTAACTCAAGCCAGTAGCGACAAAAATAGTCTGTGTGCTTATTATGATAACTACGGTAATCTGCAGGCAGCGGAAAAAGACGGGCTTGGAGGTGTTTTTCATTCAGTGTGTCTTCAGCAATAGCCCTCTTTCAATCAAATAATACCAAAGCCTGTCAATCAAGATGTCCTTAAGAAAATATTTGATATTTGACCCCCTGTGGTGAAAATAAAGCTTTTAATGTTGTTTATATGTATATGTGGTGTTTTTAATATGCTTTAAGACAAACCATGTGCAGATTCTTAAGTCAGCACCATTGCTGAGTATTTTCTCCTTAAAACTGCAGTGAAACAAAGACATCCTCAAAAACGCGGTTTTTGAAATCGCTGGTGTTTCTGACGTCACAAACTACCTTGTAACCAATCACGACAACGTGTGATTGTCAACGAGTGGATCTCTGAGCTGCTGTGAGTGAGTGGAGGCGGGGCTAATTTGCATATTCAAAGAACCGCTTATATTAAATGAGGCAAGGGTGTAGAGTTGCATTCAAGCTATTTTAAGGAAAGAATAACTTTTTTCCAAGGAAAATCATTTAAATATGTAATTTTGGTGATCAAAGAGGAGTTTTAAGAGATACAATTATTGCCTACAGGGGACTTTTCTCACAAACTTCTTAGTATTTATATTAAGAATTTTCTTAGCCTCTTTCTTAAGAAGATTTTAGTGACCCGGCCCCGGGTCATTGGCTTTGGATGACTGAAACACCTACTACCCAAAGGAATTAAGTTTGGCCTTGACCAACAATAGAGCACAAATAGTCCAGTTATACAAAACAATCAATGTAAATAGTCCATTGAATTTAATTTGTTGTTTAATGACATTCAACATCTGACTATTTTATGTACTTTGATGGTCCAGTGGCGGAACTTTTGCCAAGCGTGTCAGAGGTTCTGGGTTCTAATCCGCCCTCGTACCCTTTTATATTAAAAAACCCTTATTAAAATCGATTGTGTTTATCAGTGGTTGTATATCAGTCAGGAACACATTTGTGTGCATTTTATTTTGTGATTTCATTAAAGCGCGCGTCCGTGTGAAGACTGTGCGGTGTGCGCGAGTCACGAGAGAACACTGTTTCTGCACCACTGATCCAGAGTCAACAAGCACTTTGATCACTTGATTTAAAAAACAACACATTTCAGCGTGCTAGATCACCTCTTATTTTACTTTTATTTATGTGTATTGGTACATCCGTGCCGCGAGATGTTTCAAAAGTGGTGGGGACATGGAGAGGGATTGTGGACGAGGTAACGTTAGATGTAAATGTCAGCAAACGTAAAATTTGGCAAGTTTTTACTAGACTTTAGTGGAGTCAGCAGTTCGTTTAACAGTAAATACGGATCTATACCTAAAGTATCTATTTTATTTAAATACCGTTGCTTTTCATCTGTGCTATTTAAGTGTGCAACATCTTTCCGATCACCAGGGAGAGATTATGCGATTTAACGCAATGGTCCTAAAGATGGCGGCCACAACAAAAAAGTCACGTGACTGAAACCAATGAATAGCATTGGACTCTACGATCGGCGGAAGTAATCCAGCATCCTTAGACCTTCACCGGAAATACCGCCGTGCATAGAGCCCATTAGAATCTTTGTTTTTTAGGAAAGTAGGAAATTACTAGTCATCCAGTTTTTAATATCAGCTATGCATTCCGTTAATTTTGTGAATTGGTAAGTTTCATCAGGGCGTGAAGAAATATAGAGCTGAGTATCATCAGCATAACAGTGAAAACTAATGCCATGCTTCCTAATGATATCTCCTAAGGGTAGCATGTACAGAGTGAACAGCAACGGTCCTAGTACTGAGCCTTGTGGTACGCCATACTGAACTTTTGATCGATAAGACATCTCTTCATTTACTGCTACAAACTGATAACGGTCAGATAAGTAGGATTTAAACCATGCTAATGCAATTCCACTAATGACAACATCATTTTCAAGTCTATTTAAAAGAATGTTGTGGTCAACGGTATCAAATGCAGCACTAAGATCGAGTAGAGATACAACCACGATCGGATGATAAGAGCAAATCATTTGTGACTCTCATGATGATTTATGCAGACAAAATACTCCAAGGCACTCATGTGGTAAAGTAAACAGCCTTTAATGAACTTGGCTAAATCATTAAAACCAGTTAAAAGTAGAAACCCGTAGATTTTCTTTTAACTAGTTTTAATGATTTAGCCCAGTTCATTAAAGGCTGTTTACTTTACCACGTGAGTACCATGGAGTATTTCGTCTACATAATTTGATGTTTACCTCCAGTTCATCCTATGAGCACCAGTTGCTATGTAAAGAAACACGTGTAGCACTCTCTGCTTCTTTTTTTTTGCAAGTGTATTTCTTATTTATGCTCCACCTGATTCAATCCCCTTATAGTAAATTGTTTAATCTTCTAATGTGATTAAAAATATATTTGGTAAAAAAAAATGTTTTATTTATCAATTATTGTTTATAATATAAATTATTATTGTTGTTATTACTGGTAATACTTTACAATAAGGTCTCATTAACTAACATGAACTAAAAATGAGCAGTACAGTTCTTACAGAATATATATACAGTATATATATATATATATATATATATATATATATATATATATATACAGTATATATACAGTATATATATATATATATATATATATATATATATATATATATATGTGTGTGTGTGTGTGTGTGTGTGTGTGTGTGTGTGTGTGTACTGTACTGTGCAAAAGTTAAAATAATGTTATAATTTTTCACCAAAAAAAGTTTTAAAACAGTTATTTATATTTTGCCTTTAAGTGCCAGTTTACATTTCCAAAAATTATTGTTGCCATTAATTGTAATAATCAGGGATTTAATTTTAATTTAAGGATTTTTTTACACTGTTGCTCCACCATTAAAGTGCTTGACCTGATGTCAAACTGGCTGTAAAAAAAGTATACTTGTGTTATGTTATGAATTGCATAAAACACATTTTGGAACAAAATAATATTTTACATTTTGTTAAAGAAAATGTTAGTGGTGCTTGAAAAGCTGCCATGGATGTTCTGGGTGGTTTCCAGGGCATTGCTTATGCGGTTGCTATGGTGTTCTGAGAGGATTCATCACATTGCTGTGCAGTTCAGGGTGTTCTAGGTGATTCTAGGTGGTGTATTGGCTCAAGTCAATAGATTGCATCTCCAAGCATCTGTGATATACTGCTCTCTATAATCTGAACTCCAAGTGCTTAGACAAGTAACAACACACCTCTCCTCATCAAGACACACAGTTTGAAGTATCTTTCATAATCGTAGTAGAATCGTACATTTGTACAGATCCCTAAGTATTAGTAGTCTAAACATTTGAGGTTTATTTAGAGCTCTGTAGACTTATGCAATGGGGGCCACTGTGGTTTGCCGGTAGCATGGATTACTGCTTAGAGGACTTCTGTTCTTGTTCTGGTGTTGCAACCCTGAAGCGATCTGTTGTGTGATTGAGGCACCGTCTTCATGATGGCTTGAGGATGATTGTGATGGAGTAACATTGTGAAAATTGGACCATGAAGGGAAAAAAATGTCACTTTAGTAATTCTCTCTCTTTGCCTCTCTCGCTTTATCTTGTTTCTCAGACTCACTACAGTGATGGAGAGTACATTATTAGACAAGGTGCCAGAGGGGACACATTCTTTATCATTAGCAAAGGAAAGGTAAGATATTTTCTGTCACAGAGATAGAATACCAAAGAGATTGCATGCACGAACTCACCCCAAAATGAAAATCCTGTCATCATTTACTCACCCTCATGTCGTTCTAAACCTTCATGCAGCTTTTTCACTTGCAAGTCAAAAGGAAGTAATGATTTGAAGGATTTTCTAAAGTTTTGAAGGATCTTAATGCAGCTGTTTTCCTTTTAACAATAGTGACCATGTCTAAGCTCCAAAAATGACAGAAACAGTATCATATAAGTAGTCCATATGAGTCGTATGCTATATTCCAAGTCTTCAGAAATGAGGTTTTGTAAAGAACTGAGTGACATTTAAGTCATTATTTACTGGCAATCTTCCCCTCCAATTAATAAATTATTTCTAACACGGACTACAAACATTGCAAATGCACACAAGTAAGTATTTATTAATCCATTATCTGCCTAATTATTTGTGTGAAAATGAATAAAACTTTTTGGTTTTACTACCACTAGGTAGAAAATGTAGGTAGAGAGGTTGCCTTTTGGATTTTGGATTTGAGAGCTACAGTTCAGTGAATCATAACTTCATAAAGTTCAGTCTGTTCCGTACATAGAGCTATTTACTGACTTAAGAGGTCTTAGAATATAAGTCATGTAGACTATTTTATGATACTGTTATGGAGTTTTATTGTCTCTTTGAAGCTTGACAGATGTGGTCACTATGAATTATTGTACAGAATGTGCTGTGTTTGCTCTTTCAAAATTGTAATTTTTGTACGAACTGTCCGTTAAATCTGATAGCCTTCATTCAAATACACTAATCTCTATTGTTGCTATCATTAGTGTGATAAATGCTGACTTTTAACACATGTGAATGAAAAATAATTGACATTTTAGAAACAAATCAGAGGATTCTTCAGTCTTTTAAAGGATTAGTTCACTTTAAAATGAAAATTAGCCCATGATTTATTCACCCTCAAGCCTTCCTAGGAATTTCTTCTTCCAGACGAATACAATCGGAGTAATATTAATAAATGTCCTGGCTCTTCTAAGCTTTACAATGGCAGTGGATTGCAACCAAGCGTGCTGCACAAGCCCTGAAAAGTGAAGTGTCAAAGTGTCTCGATCGCCCCTCGGTAGCTGGTCCCAGTATAGGTCATGAAGCCCGCCTCCCCATGAAGTGTAATGAACACGGTGGAAACTAAACAATCAAATTACATTTCAAATGAATTTTTTCCAAAGATGTTTTTTGTCATTTTAGGTAGTTTTTTTCACGCTAATGTAAGTTTAAGTGTTCGTTTGTTAAAATAAGTTTGGTCTTTAGTTTGTGTAAGAAAAATATTCAAATTTAAAACGTTATAAAGTCAAATAACTAGCTTCCGGCTAAACAAACATACAGATCTGACAAGTGTAAAGCGCAACTTATCCAAGTAATGCGACGTACTGCTGATATTTACGCTATACGCCATGACGCACTACGCTACTTCAAACATCATAAATTGCGCATTAGTAGGTTGCGTTTGGCCGGAAGCTAGAATTTTACTTTGTAACGTGTTAAATATGAATATTTTTCGTACACATACTTATCGCTTTGCTTCAGAAGGCCTTTATTAACCCATCGGAGCCGTTTGGAGTTCGTTTATGATGGATGGATGCACTTTTTTGAGTTTCAATCTGTTGGTTGCAATCCACTGCCATTATCAAGCTTGGAAGAGCCAGGACATTTAGTAATATAACTCCGATTGTATCCGTCTGAAAGAAGAATGTCATATACACCTAGGATGGCTTGAGGGTGAGTAAATCACAGGGTAATTTTCATTTTAAAGTGAACTACTCCTTTAATGATCAATAATCTGTAATTGCAGGTGAACGTAACTCGAGAAGATCCACCCAATGGGACCCCTGTCTATCTTCGGGCATTAGGGAAAGGAGACTGGTTTGGAGAAAAAGCCCTTCAAGGGTAAAAACTTCCTTGCACACTACTTATACAGCGCTTCAATCACAGCTGGCCACTGACCATGTTTACGAAAGCAAGCGCTGACATCAATTATGTGCTCGATGGATCGTTTGCTGCTGGCACATGCCTAATGGGCTGTTAACTGAGAACAATCAAATGCACATCCAAACAAAGCATCTGTTTTGAGTTGTTCAGCTTGCTTTAGGAATACTTTTTGAATGGAAGTAAAGCATTTAAAGTCAACTTAAGATTAAAGTTGACCTATGTGCTTCCTTTTATGGACATTTCCGATTCCTGGTTTTTCTAAATTAAAAACAAATCATTATATTTAATCAAAATGCAATAACTTGCTCCACCTCTGAAACTATTTTATTTTATTAAAAGGGATTTTTCAGCAATCCCTCTTATTCGTGAAGCCTTCCCCTATTTTTTTTTTCCTCCTGTTTTGCGGAAAAATATATTTCACATTATGGAAGTTAAGTGAGCTGCAAATGGCATTTCATTTGGTTTTTAACCTGATTTGAAATGGGCTTGTATGAAAATGCCTGTCATTTTTGAGGCTTTATTTGCAAGCGTACCGTCTAATGGACTGGGAGCTCACAGCACTTAGTGAGAGCTAATTTGGAGAAGATGAGACCGGTTGTGTCAGAACAGTCAGATGCACATATCCACCCCATATCATATTTCTCATAGGGTCGGTCGGTTATGAACATCATCCTCTGATCTATTTCCATATTTCCTGCGTTATTCCCACCGCTGCTGATTCAGTAGAGGCCAACCTCAGGCAACTTCACTCGGCTTCCATTATGGCTATCAAGTTGTTTCAAGCGAACGTTATTCCTGCTAAGCAAAGAGATGCTTTTCAGATGTAATTTACACATTTATTTTCACATGATGGTTTTAGTTGTGAAACTTTTTGAACAGCTGTTGCAATGGATGGAGACAGAACATATGCAGTGAGGACCCCTAGTGGAGATCAGAGGAAGTGTTAGTGGATTAATTGTGGTGGTTGTGACAAACAACAGTCTATTTTATTGTTGTTGTTGTTGGGCAATTACCCTACCGAATAGTGGTAAACATATTAAAGGGATTCTATTCTCTAGTTTTTTTTTCTCCTTTTTTCTATTTGACATGCTCGCATTAGTGCACTTGGCTTGTTTTGCACAGTTATGTTGCGGTATTGAACTTGTCATTGACCCTGAAAAAGGGGCAAGCTGTTAATGGACCGGAATAAAGAGCCTGCAGATTGCACACAAAATATAAGGTCCATGCTGGGAAAATTTATATTTGATTGAATTAACTTGAATGAGAAAGTAGTAGGATATGGTGTGGCCACTGGACTCATTGGACAAGATCTCCTGATGAAAGCATACATACTTTCAAACATTTTGAACGACAAAATTCAAGAAGTCACTGCCTCTAGTTTAGTACACTATGCCAACATGTGATGCACAAGAGAGTGAAATAAAACCTGAGCTACCTGATTAGATCAAAAGTGAAGATAGAGCTAAGAAAATAATCTGTAGTTTACGTTTAAGGTTGAGTTTTTGGTTTCTAATTCCCTCTTAAGTTTTTAATGGTTTCATTCTATTTGTAGCCAGTAATTTACAGCAAAAAAACAAATGTGTGTCTGCACAGTAAAAAAAAAAAAATGTATTTCAGTTACAGCCAAACTTTGGAGCAATTTGCATTACACGGTACGAATTAGCCTGCATTTGTTATTTCTAAGAAAGGGGAATAAATACTATATTCATTTGAACGGCACAAACCGGCAAAATACGAGCACACTAAACAACACCGTTTCAATATAACATTCCTGTTATATCTAAGGAAAGACAATAAAAATAGCGAAAAAATTGTGTTTAACTACAAAAAAACAGCACAAACCGAACACACACACAACTATTTGGAGCAATTTGAGCGACATGGGGTGAAGAGTGATGTCATACATCCCAAAAAATTATGTTCAATATCTCAAACATCAAACCAGCACAGACGTTTGTTGTTGCGGACCAAATTGTGAATATTTTAGTCATTATTTCATTTCATTGGATGCCAACTTCATTGAGATTGTTGTTTGTAACAAATGACAGTTATTTATACACTGATGTTTATAGTTAGACATTGAGTGATCTATTGTTTAATTGTCACTTTTCTTTTCTTTTCTCCTCACAAAGACACCTAGTTAGATGGCTCTTGCTTTGATCTGTGCCCAAGGACGACCAAGCTGATGAGGAGTTTATTAGTTTTTGCCTGGAGAGGTTTTTATTCCTACAAATGTGTGTTCTTGATCTTCGTGGCTTTGATCTCACCTCTCACTCAGCTTTAATTAGCACAGAGTCTTGCGTTTTTTGTTGTTGTTTGTTTAGTTTCTTTTTTTAAGTGGTAGTATGTTTAGCAAATCAATCAGCACTCTATATTGAAGTGGATCAAGTCAGTCTTTCATCTTAAACAATATTTTTTTAGGCCGTTATGAGTCGTGTTTGTGTGATATGGAAGCTGCCTGGGATTTGACTAAGTAACAGCCATAACAATAGCTGTGGTCTTGTGGATTAAAGGCTGCTCACTGCTTTGATGTGCAACAGCTTGTATGCTAAGTAAACTTTCATGTCCCGCTTAAGCAAAACACCTTGTTGAGGCAAAATAATAAATTTGCTGCCAGTTAAGGAGATGTTGATTCTCCTTTTTTTTCTTTCCACACCGGAAGGAAAGTATACAAACACATTCAGACCAAGGAGCACTGTATGGGTATCATCAATTCAAATTAGGCCTATTTTAAGACCATTAAAGGACACGTTCGGTATTTTACACTTAAAGCCCTGTTTTAAGATTGTTTCTGATGAAATAGAACGGTTAAGATTGAAATTTGGACACATGCTGCTGGCCCGAGAATTTTCGGTTTCTGTGGTTGCACCATCCCCCACCTCCACCCCCACTATGGTTGCAAAGGTGCACTGGAACAATTCTTCATAAAACGCATTAAACTTTAGTTTACAAAGACGTGAAACTCACCGAGTGGTCTGGGGTGTTCACTGATATGCTCACACAAAAATGTGTGCCGCAAAAGATGCTTTCCAACTGGTTTTATCGTAGTTTTTGTCCAACTCCATTGACTTGACTTGGACAAAAACTACGATAAAACCTGTTAAAACCTGACATTTGTTTTTATGGCAATTAAACACATTTCCTCATTTCCTCATCCCAATTCTTTTGAAATTTTCCCTGTTATTCTCAAAGGTTATTCTCATTTGGTTCTTGGTTGCACTTTACAATAAGGTTTCATTTGTTAACATTTGTTAACTACATTAGTTGACATGAAATTACAATGAACAATATTTCTATAGCGTTTATTAATCTCAATTAATGTTAATCTCAATATTTACTAATACATTATTAAGATCAAAAGTTGTATCTGTTAACATTGGTTAACACGAACAGGAACATTTATTCACTTTATTTACTAAACAGACTAACATTAATGAATTGGAATTTCCAAAGATTTCCAATTTACCAAATGACTATTAACTAATTTTAACATATGAGACCTTATTGTAAAGTGTTACCGATTATCATAACTTTAAATTGATTGAAAATTGTCTAAAATTGTATTTAATATATTTAAAATGCCACTCTTTACTTCGCCCACGCCTTTGGATTCCGTCGTTGTCGAGTATCGTTCGAGAGAACAAACAGCGCTGTATTTCAGTTGGATTCCTCTGTGAACATGCACGAATGGATGTCTGACAATTTCATTGCTTTTAGGAGTTTTCAGATTTAAAAACGTCTATAGATATAGAGGCTACACTCGTTCTGCGGTACCGTTGCTCTCACGGAACAGATAGACTATGTATGCTTATGTATCGTCTGATGAAATCCTGCTGGTGTCTGTGCTTTCTCCGTCCATTTAATAAATGCACATCCTTGGATGGGCGTGGATTTCTAGCGCATTTACTTGAACTTCATAGGTAATATCTATGGATCGACCCATTTGAGAGGCGGCCAGAATCAGAATTTAAAATGGGCTGAATAAAGCTCTCTACGACCTTGACGAGCGATGCCGCGCTGGCTGACCATAGACTGTAAAAAAAGAGTGACTGACATGTATGCACATAAATCACTGTCACACACACGCTCAGAGTAATACTGTAAGTTACTGCATAATACATTTTCAAATAGAGGCAGAATAGTCAGCCCGTTCTCATCCTTTGGCGTCATACATGTGACGCTTTGGACATTTCGTCGAAATCTTACGCACATGGCATCCTTTAGCATCAATATGAGACGCAGAACCCAAGGCATCATACAGGTGACCTCGTCTAAATCCAACGCACATGGCATCGTTTAGCGTGAATATGAGACGCAGATCCTAAGGCGTCATAACTGTAACCCTACCCCAGACCTAAACCTACCCATAACTGTGTGTGCTATATTGACGCTAAAGGATGCCATGTGCGTAAGATTTCGACTAAATGTCATATGGCGTCACCTATATGACGCCAAAGGATGAGAATGCGTTGGAATAGTACAGATCTACGATACACAGTCTCACTTGTAGCTATGTCTTTTAACTATTATAGTATTTCGAAGGGCAAAAACAGGAACTTTTAACTCTTGGCTTTACATCATCTACTGTTACTTTAGCGCGAGGCCCTGTCGCAGACTTGGTACTGCTAGTAGCATATAGCATTAGCTCCTAAGCCTGAGCTAACTCGATCACGTCGAGACTAGGCGGGCGTGGTTTCAGCATCCAGGCACCACAGCTCCACCCACGTCCCGCCGCTTTGCCCATTTTTTTTGTTATCTACGAGTGACACGCTGCCAAGATGGCGACGGCAGGCTCTGCCCAGGCTTCAAAAATGCTCTTCAGAAACCTACGGGTGACGTCACGGACACTACGTTCATGTTTTTTTACAGTCTATGTTCACAACCAGCACGTTAAACTTGGTTTCAGTTTCTTGGAGAACCTAGATGTGTCACCTCATCTTTGTCCTGCTATATTCTCC